ATATTGTAAAAAAGTAGGCCTATATAATGCCTGATGTTTAAAATATTGGCAATGGCTACATCCAAAGAGTAAGCCTATGCTAATTTTATACTCTTTGCTATATCTTTGTAAAATATTGTTGAATATAAATATATAATGGAATGCATCTTAACCATAAATGTTTAGACTCCTGCACCGATCCGCTTGGAGTTGAAGATGGAACCATTCCTGATAACCAACTTAAAGCAACAAGTCAATACAACAATGAACACAAGCCTTACCGTGCTAGACTACACTCAACAAAAGCCTGGGCAGCAAGCAGCAATGACCTTGATCAGTGGATACAAGCTGATATTGGTGCCTTGACTGAAATAACTGGAGTAATCACTCAAGGCCACTTCGGTTATGATGAATGGGTGACATCATATAAAGTTCTTTACAGTGTTGATGGCAGCACATTTAACACAATTGACACAGTGAGTTCGCAATATATTATTAACCACAGATACCACAGTAAGAGCATTTTAGATTATGTTAGCTGTTGTGTATTTCAGTTACAAATATTTACTCATACTTCGATGTCGGTGGGCGGAGGCCCTGTTCTGGAAACCTACCGGTAGCACACTTGCATATCCGAACTGTTTTTAGTTAAATTATTTTATTTTATTGCTTGTTGTTTTATTTATATATGCTCATCGAGGCTTTTCCTTGCGGAATGTGCTATATAAGAGTCATGTTATTATTATTATTATTATTATTATTATTATTATTATTATTATTATTATTATTATTATTATTATTATTATTATTATTATTATCATTATCATTATCATTATTATTATTATTATTATTATTATTATTATCATTATTTAAATTTAATTGAATAAGGCTTACTCATGATTCTCAATTTGCATATTGTTTAGGTGTTTACTGCAAATACAGATCGAGACACTGAAATCACAAATATGTTCTCAACTCCTGTAAACGCTCAGTTCATTCGTATTCATCCACTCACTTGGGAGGACCACATCAGTTTGAGATTTGAAGTTCTTGGATGCCTAGGTAAATGTAGAGGTACTACCTTGATACTTCATAAAA